TTTATTTTTTAGCTTACGTTTTGCCTTCCTGTTTCTAATATTTATATTATATAATAGAAAATCGAAGATATAGAAAAAGAAGTCGAAAAATTATTACATGACGATTCTTTGGCAGAGGCGGTGAAAGTTGGTTAGTTTTAAAACCACACAGACCCTATACCATTAGAAATTTTAATATACAGAAATAGGTTTTTACTTATAAATTGCTATATAAAAGCTTGGGAAGATGCTGTTGATTCGGAAACTGCAACTCCTGCTGCACTTCTTGGGACAATGCCCGAGGATGAGGAGGAGATTGAGGAGACCGAAGTGCAAGTAGAAGACGATGATTACGATGCAGAAGAAACTGAAGTTCCTGAAGAAGACTTGATACAAGAACGTAAAAATGAAAATGAGGAATCGGCTCAGAATGATGACATAACAAAAGAATTTCAGATAGGCTTGGATATGATGGATCAACTAACAGATGGTGAAGACAGTGAAGCAGATGAATCTGAAGAAAGTTCATCCGCTTCTTCTTCAGAAGAAGAAGATAGTTCTTTTGAAGACCGTGAGTTATTTCATAATATATATAAATATTTTGATATATTTGAATTAACTATGAATTTTTTATTATTTTCATATATCATATTATATAATATAGAAGAAGAATTGACTAAAATCTTTGAAAAGCAAAGAACGTTAAAATCAGAATTATCTGAATTAGATGCTAATTTACAAAAGAAACGAAAAGATTTAGAAGTAGAAACCAATAGTATCATGCAGGTTAGTAAAATATCATTATTAAAGACTTCATAAGTTTTAAACTCACCCTAAAATTATATATATGTATTCAATGAAATTATAGGGAAGATTTCTTACAGAGATTAACACTATAACTGCGGAAATAGATCAGAAAAAGGCAGGATTAGAAGAAGCAGAACGAAGAATATACGAAATTCAAGAAAAGATGGAATCAAAAGTCAAAGCGCTCGAAGAGAAACTTGCAAATGATCAATCTCAAGGTGAAGAATCTGATAATGAAACGACATCATCAACTTCTGGTGATAATGAAATTCAAGAAAAGGATGATGAAATGGTATATGAAACGGAAGGATCCCCCATAGAAGGAAGGAATGAAGAGGATGATGACGAGGGGATGGAAGTGGATGAATCAAATGAAAACAGAGATATTGATAAAAATAATAAAAAAAAATAAATAATCTAAAAAAAATAATTTTAAATTTTCAACTATTTTATTATATTTTTCAGTGATTATAAATAATTTTCTTCATTAATTTGACTTGTGACATATAAAGAAAATACAGAAGTTGATTAATTCATTTAAATATATATATCTAATAGAATATTAGTTAATACCTTTTTTTCATTTTGATTGTAATTTTTTTTAACGTGCGCGGAATACATACATGATTTAATAGTGATTACGTGCATATTATATAGTTTTTTTTTAAGTGACGAATAAAAAAAACATCCTGCACATCATTTTAAAATTGTACGCGGAATGTGCACATGATTTAAAAAGTGAATTTCAAACATTTTTTTCTAGTGTTAAGTGAGAGGATATACTAACAATTCATTAATAAATAGGTAACAGCTTCTTTTGCACAACCAACCAACAACCTCTCATATACCACACAAGCGAGATCAGTACCAGTAGAGAATGCACACCTGGAATTCCTGCGAACCTTAGGTAACAAGCAAATTCTAGAACGGTACGTGCAGCATTCTTTTTTCCACAGAGAAATAGAAAAACTGCTGCTCAATAAAAAAAGAAATTCTTGGGATATGGGGTATTTATATCTTGTCTCAGATGATCATGATTAATATGGTAACATATCAAAATATGGCGTAAATAATTTTAGTTCTCGCCTTTATTATAAATTTTATAAAACGAAAAGGACCACATAATCGTTTTTTACGAATTAAAAGATCTTGCCAAAAAAAGGGTAAATCAAAAATTATTACCTTTTTTGTTCAAGATTCTCTTTTTGTTTGTAGATTGTCAAAATCTAAGATTATCAATCTCGATTAGATCCTGTAAGAATGCGAGATTTTTATTATAGAAGTACGTTATTTAAATTCGAATTTTTTAATTTTTGTCATTATTTATTATTTATTTTTTTTTTAAATCAATGTTTCATAAGAATATAGCAAGAGTAGATATCATAAGAAGTATTATAGCCAGAAGTAATTCCTATACTGGAAAATGGATACTCGGAAAAGAAATCCGTACTGTAAGTCTTATAAATTGTATTTTGACTTTCGTAAAATAGTTTTCATTTATTGTTGAGAGAGAGAAACATAAATGAAGTTTGCCTAGTCTTAAAAACAAAAAAAAAAAAATTAGTTACGTTCATATAGTGCTATGACACAACTTTTGACCAAAACAACAGCAAATACCGAGCAGGAAAAAGTATCTATTATTATTTTATATTTAAAAATTTTTTTCCATCGTGATCTAATGTCTATTATCTTTCTTTTTCATACGAAAAAGGTTACTCAAAAGGTTATTCAAAAGGTTACTCATGCAGATTCAGAAACAGCACCAAAGACAGCACAGTTACTTGCGAAACAAGATAAATACACTTTAAACACATATGCTCGCCCACCAATTATCTTTTCACATGGTAAAGGATGCCGAGTTTACGATTTAGCCGAACGAGAATATCTTGACTTTACTGCCGGTATAGCCGTAAATGCATTAGGTCATTCGGATCCCGAAGTCGCACATGTTATTTCGGAGCAAGCAAACAAACTTGTACATCTTAGTAATTTATATCATAACGAATATGCAGGGGAATTAGCAGAATATTTAGTTGAATCAACACGCGCAGGAGGAGGATTTGAAGCATCAAAAGTATTTTTCACAAATTCTGGTACCGAAGCAAATGAGGGAGCTTTAAAGTTTGCTAGGAAATGGGGAAAATTTTATGGTAAAAAAGGTATTAATGATGGTAGCATTAATACAGAAAAATTCGGCGTAATATCATTTTCAAATGCTTTTCATGGACGATCATTTGGGGCTTTATCTGCTACACCCACAAAAAAATATCAAAGTCCATTTACTCCCATGTTACCAGGTTTCGTTTCTGCACCTTTTAATGATCTGAATAAGATAAATGAATTTGTTAATGATAACACTTGTGCTGTCATTGTGGAACCTATTCAGGGAGAAGGTGGTGTTTGGGAAGCTAGTGTACCTTTTTTGGAATCATTAAGGAAAAGATGTGACGATGTTGGAGCTTTATTGATTTTTGATGAAATTCAGGTAAACTGGTAAAATTTAAATTATATCATTTATTTATTTACAAACAATTATAAATGATATCAAAAAATATCCTTTATTTATTTCAACTTTTAGTGTGGGCTTGGTCGTACCGGAAAGTTATGGGCACATCAACATTTTCCAAAATCTTGTCACCCCGATATTTTAACAATGGCAAAACCATTAGCAAACGGATTCCCCATCGGCTCAATTATGATTTCTAAACGTGTTGCGGATATCATTGTGATAGGTTAGTTATTTTATTCTTACATTTTAAATTTTTTTTGACTTAATCAACGTTTATTTAATTAAAAAATGTTTAATTAACAGGTGATCATGGTACAACATTTGGTGGCAGTCCATTAGCATGTAAAGTAGCGCTTAATGTAACATCAAGAATTAACAAACCAGAACTATTGGAAAATGTTAATAATGTTAGTGCCTACTTATTTTCATCGTTTGAAAGAATTAGCAAAAAATTTCCTTCATTAATTAGCACGATTCGTGGTAAAGGACTTATGATTGGTATACAATTTACTCGTGATCCAAGTCCTTTGATTAAATTAGCTAGAGAACGTGGTTTGTTAATAATCACTGCTGGTAATGACACTGTTAGAATTGTGCCCCCCTTAATATTGAATAAGGAAGAAGCTAAAAAAGGCATTGAGATTTTGGCGGAATGCATAGAAATCTTTAATGAACAAAGTTAAAAAAAAATAATAGATTGAAGTTATTTATTTATTTGTATTTGTATTTGTATTTTTAATTTTAATTTAAACCTTTAGCATTTTAAATTATCATCATAATTACATTTAGCCAAAGTAAATAAATTTACAGAGAAGTTTGACTATATTTGTTTGCAAAAATATGTGATTTGATATTTCTTTTGAGTTTGAATATTATCATTATCAATTGTTATCTTTGTTGATATAAATTATATCTTAATTTAGAAAGAATCAAATTTAAGATCAACATTTTCGTTGTACAAACCCCTAATTTGGGATACGCGTCAGAATTGGATATATAAATATTATTTATACGCGACAGTCGAATTTTACAACTTGTTCTTTTTTTCCAAATCTCGACAAAAATGACTAAGAAATTTGTACCAACAAAAACATATTTTTTAAGAAGTAAAACCAAACCTACACAGAAAGAACAGGATGAAAAAGAAAAGGTAAAAGTAGACACTGAAAAAAGAGGCAAAAAAAGAAAGCGGCATGCTGAGGAGACGATTGAAGGTGAAGTTGAGGAGACGATCGAAAGACACCCGTTCCAACATCTACTCATTCCTATTACCGAAGAACACATTATCAGAACTCCTATTACCTTAGCAGAAACTAAATTAATCTACGCGACGCCAGAGAGATTACATTCTGAGGACCAGGACCAGGTTCAGTTACCTGCTAGTAACTCAAACGAATTTAACTATGAAACGCCAAAGAGGAGACGACGTTCAAATGACCAGTTACATAGTCCCAGTACACCAACAACTCCCATGACCCCAATAAATTCTTTCATTCAACAAGATATTACCAGTTCACCTAGTCCACTCTATATTACACCTGAAAGTATACGAACTGTTGATTTAATTAATTTAATTAAGAAACCTTTAGATCCATCATCCGAAGTGATTAAACAAATGAAATTGATTTTCCGATTATCGACCCTTGCTACGAAGCTCATTGGCCGTGACAAGGAGCGCGAGGAGATTAAGAATTTTCTTAGAAACAACATAATCGAAAAAACAACAGACAGTTTATTAGTGGCTGGTATTCCTGGTACTGGGAAAACAGCACTGGTCAATGAGGTTTGGAATAACATGAAAGATACAATCGCCAAAGAAGCTGCTTGTTCTATCAATTTTATTATGATAAATTGTATGAACATGGGAGATCCAAAAAAGATTTTCGAAAACCTTCTGAATAATTTGGATCACAATGTCATTTCAAATAAGGCGGAAGAAATTTTAGCGAACAAATTTTTGAAATCTAAAAAGAAAAAGAATATTATGCAGTAAATAATCATTTTTTCCTACCGTTTTTAGATATTGTTATGTTAAAATTATAATTAAATTAAATAATTTTATGTTATTCTTAATTCAGCGTTATCGTATTAGATGAAATAAATATGCTTGAAACATATCATCAACGAAAATTATTTGGATGGACTAATATTCAAAATTCAAATTTAATTTTAATTGGAATAACTAATCGCCCACAAAATAATAATAGTTTGTATTATAGATTTAAATTAATTAATTTTCAACTTAATATTTTATGAACTAATATTAAAAAATTTTTTAATAGGTTTTACAAAAAGTTTGTATTTTACGCCGTATAGTGCGTCCGAACTAATAGATATTATTAAAGATCGCCTTGTCGTCGCGCAAAATAGCACTTTTACTGCGTCATCGCAGGATTTGAATACATCATTAATACAAGATAAAGCAATTGAACTGTGTGCAAAAAGAATTGCTGCAAGCAATGGAGATTGTAGAAAAGCTTTAGAAGTTTTTAGACAAGCGATGGAATTAGTAGAAATGGAAAGAGAAGATAGTAAATCACTTAGAGATACAAGTTCTCCGATCGTTACAATTCAACATATTAACCAAATTACTAATACAGAAATTACTGGAAAATCTACAATAAAAAGATTAAAAGAATTGACGGTTCATCAGTTACTTATAATCTGTACTTGCGTAATCATGAACAAAAAGAAAATTAATAAGATTACATATGCGGAGGTAAATTTAAATTAAATTAAACTCTCTGGTTTTGTCTTTCATTTCTAAATATTATTCTTTTTTTTTTTGGATTACAGCTACGTTCGGAATATCAAAAACTCTGCCGTAAAGGTAACATCATCACTCCAATTAGCTCAAGCGAATTTCATGTCTTAATACAAAGACTGGAATTTGCAACCTTTTTACAATGTAATCGTGCGAAAGTTGCAGCGAACCGCAAAATTAAATTGTTAGTTGAAGAAGAAGATTTTATGGCAATAACGAAAGATCACCCGATTTTGAATCTTATTGATTTTGAAAAATTCACGCTAGAAGAGAGCTAGAAGAGAGCTGACAAATTCTATAGTGACGAATGAATT